ACTGCAGTCAGAGACTCGGGACTCGGCGGCGTAAATCTCAAGACTGGGAGGACAGAAACACAAATCCTTTGGCAGGTAACATATGATGAGAGGATGCAGAGGGACATTCCATTGAGAGAGTGGAGGAGGAAACAGGCTGAAGGGAGCGGTCTAGGAGCCAGCTGGGATCGTAGTTCAGGTGAGTACATCTTTGTTATTTTAGCTCCCCAGGCAAAATGAGCACTTGACCCTTGCAGTGGGGCTACTCAGGGCTGGATTTGCTACAAGGCCCCCGAGGCCCGGCCTTAGGGCAGCAGGGAGCAGAGGGGTGGCAGGGGTGGAGAATCTCCCGACACCCGGGACATTCAGCTCTGGGTGCCGGGCGGGTATTATTGTTATTATACAGCATTTATATAGCGCCAATAGTTTGCGCAGCGCTTTACAATAAAAGGCAGACATTACAATCACAATACAATTCAAGACAAGATGGTAAGGAGGCCCTGCACGTGAGGGCTTAGTAGTTCTCTACATCTAGCCCTGCTTTGGACAAGCAGAACTAAATGTAGAACATGGAAGCCGCTCGTTCCTTTACAAGTGCTCTCGGTGAGGTCGCTGAGATCACTTGTAATAACACTGCAGGTCCGTCCTCCACTCGCTGCCCGAGAACAGGGAGCAGAGTGGAGAATGTCCGTTCTCCGCTCTGCGTAAACAGTGAGAGGGGAGAGCTGCACCTTCTCCTCTCAGCTGTCACAGGAGTTCCAGCACAGTGCTGTACTAGAACTCCTGTATTGGAAGGGACAGGTTCAATAAAGACAACCTGTCACCTCCAAATACTATCACACAGGGACTTGTTAGCTCCTGTGTAATAGCAATAAAGTAAAAAAATAAATATTTGAAAAATAAAGTTAAAAAGTAATAAGAAATAATAATAAAAATAAAAATGTGATTAAAAAAAAAAAAAAAATATATATATATATATAAAAAGTAAAAGATGAGATAAATAAAAATGTAAAAAAGTAAATACAAATTAAAAAAAGTGATAAAAAAAGTTAAAAATAAATAAACAATAAAAAAAAATGTAAAACCTACCCTGCCGCCCCGCCATTTAGTGGGGAGGGAGGCACATTGAGGAACCTGGCCTTGGGGCAGCAGAGAGTAAATCCAGTCCTGGGGCTACCCCTGCACTGCAAAGGTTAAGTGCTCATTTTGCCTAAAGAGCTAAAGATTTTATTTGCTTGGAGTTTTTCTCGAAGGCCTGGTAAACTGCAATATATTACATTTTTGTTCTTGGGTTTATATATACTTTCCGGTGGGAAAGGTGAAGTTGCTTAATAAAAAAAAAAAAATCTTAAAGCTGTTTATTAGAGGTGTAATGGCAATTTTTATCTGCCAGTCAGCTGCTTGGAACCAGTACCAGCACCATGGCCCATTCCAGTCTGGTCTGCCTCCCTTTGCTGTGAATAAAAGCAATGAAGCTCCTCCCCTAAAACCCCACTATTTCTCATGTGTAAGTCACACAATAGCCAGGAAATAAGAATAAAGACAACAGTATGCAGTTTTTAATGCTTTATTTTTCTACACTCTAAAAATACATAGCGAATACAGGTAACAAGCTCACATTGAACTTTAAGGGCTTTTCAAAAACACAACCAACATGGTAATTCAAGAAGAAATGAGGAGACTCCTATTAGTCAACACTTATGAATAAAATAAGGCACATATTATTTCTCCATTCCTCGCGTGCATTTGTTCTTAAGAAAAATAAGCTCAGATTTCAAGACTCTATACAGCTCTGTGTGTATAAAAATAAAATGTAGAAATCTGTATGAAATGGTTTTTAGAGATAATTAAAAAAAAACCTTTTGGAATGCGAACGACAAGAAGAGCAACGCGTGATTTAATAAAGTTTTCTTTTGACTAGATATCAGTGTAGTCAGTTCTTTTAGGGTGCTAGTGTCTTAACAACTGACATGTTACCAGTTTCTTCCACAAGTATTTCTGATTAGGAGTGACACATAAAACGCCAGTCCTTGTGCAAAATTTCTCCATGTTTGGTCATTCATCCTGAGCAGAAGATACTGCAGCAAGCCCAGAGATTGATGACCTAAACTATAAGGCATAACATTTTCTATCGTGCATATAGTTCATAGTCACTGCATAGCATGATGGGAAGGTTGAGATGAGCTTTTTTGCCCAGGGTTCATTGTGGGTCTTGGTGGACCTCATACTCCTCATGCATGTGGCCCTTTTGACCCTGTCCAACATATCCTACTGCTAGTATGTCTATTCTCTCAGCTGTATAATGGCCACAGGGTGAAGGCATAGGCAGGTGAAGAGTAATAGTAAAAGCAAGCAGTTACTGGTTTGTTACCATGGAAATGTTTTATGATGCCTGCTCAGCAAACCAGAATATCTTGTATTTTCAGGAATTCCCCTGTTGTAGAAGCACTGAAAGCAATTAGACAGGCATTGCAGAATCAAACGCAATAGGTTACCATGCTTACAAAGTAGCAACTACTATTTCTCTTACTCCAACTCATTCATTTTTAACGGGAGCCCTCATCTTAGACCTTCATGGAACCTAACAATCAGCAGACTCTGGTAGATACGGTGTCTGCTGTGTTTCCAGAAGGGGAACATTGCATTGTAGGTTATTTAAGAGTTATAAGAGATGTTACACATATAAAAGGCATGCTGCTTGGCCATGTGCTATAACAGCACAAACTTCAGCGAAAAACTAATAGTGGAGAAAAATAAATAAAAAATTTTTAAAAAAAGGATATTTCTAAAATAATCCGTATTTTACTTCGATACAGCATATTGGCACAACATGATGTGTTACTAATGTGAAACACACTAGACACAAAAGAAAAATGCTGCATTCACTCAAAATGTTAAAAACATCTTAAATATTGTTCTAAAAGCCTTTAAACAGGCCACAAGAAAACAAAAAAACACTGCAATAACATAATGACATACTAACATAACAAAACCTATCTTAGAACATTGAAATAAAAGGGTTTTACCTCTGCAACTGGCAAAAACATATATCTGAAATAAAACTTTAAGGAAATACATATGTACACAAACCAAGACTATGTCTTACAGAAAGAATGGGACAACCCAACTTGCTCAGCAGTCTGTGGTTGATCTCACTTGGTTCTCAGACTCAGACAAAAGTTAAAAGCCACCAACACCCATAGTATGCCATTGAAGAAGCATGATATATAAGGGAGTACAAAATACAGTTTTAGAACTTTCAGGACATAGCTATTTACAGCCCAGTAGCAGCAGATCACTAAAACACACGTGCTCTTATATACTACAATAACATGTATCATGACTGCTTGTGAGATGTGACTGGTATAAAGCGGGAAAGGCTGGATCTGAGAAACCCCTGAGTATTGTAATAACAGTAAATGTCACTGAATCTATAGCCAATAGAATTATTGTTAACCAAGCAGGGACGTGCGGTCTGGGGAGGCAGAGCCTCACCTAGAATTATGGAGGAAAAAGCTGTCAGCTTCATGACTGAAGCTGACAGCTTTTTCTCCATTCAGATCGGCATCTAACAGGTTACACAGCAGGGAAATCCTCCCCGCTGTGTAACCTGTCATGGACGGAGCGCCCCAGCAGTGAGGAGCAAGTGAGGGACAGGGAGGCTCCTCCCTGTCTCCTCCCTTCCTCCTTTACACTATCTTGGGGACGGGACTTCGTTTGACTGGGCTGAGCTTCGTTCGGTAGGGGGTGGGGCTTCAGCGGGGGAGGGACAGGGGAATGCCTCACCCGGAGCAAGAGGTACCACACGTCACTGCAGTGATGTATAAAGTTATCCCCGAGTCTACTGAGAACTCAGGCTTATTTAATAAGTTTTCCCAGTGAGGATGTGCAAAGCACTACAAGCCATATGATATATCTGACTGGTCACTGTGAGTTTCTGTACTTAGCAGTCCATGACTGCTGTTTTCACTTCAAAATGTCTCTCAATTATAGGTATGAAAGATTTTAAATGATTAGCTCTGTTGGGTTTATAAAAAGTGTTGGCACAAGAACTGTTGCTCATAATATCCAATCAGATTCCAACTTCTCAGGATGGAAATAACATCCGGAATCTGATCACCTGCCAATAATAATACAGATTTTAGCTTTGCTTTTAATAAATACGCCCTGATATAACATTTTCATACATCTGGCCAGTATGTCAATTTGTAAGTCAGTTTCTGTTGTCCTCCTTCTATGATAACCGGGGACATCTGATTTATTTCAGTGTTTTTACAAAACAAAAATACACATGTAATAAATACAATTCCAGGTTCCTATAACGCATCATATAACGGTTGATGACCTTGGATTGGCTCCGTCTGTTGCATAAATTCATCTGTGTCAGGCAGGAATGAGTAATCTCCAGTACTTCAGTCTCAGCTGATATACATCTAATGTTTTGTCCAGCCAGGGTTAAAAAGGTGGTGTAAAATGCATGAAGATTCATCCACAAGGTCTACTAGGGCCTCATTTAGCCCTTACAGTTAGCTTTCTTCCAGAAATGCATATGATAATGGTCAATAATGCCCATTACATTACAAAATCACAAAACCAACACGTGGGACTAATATATCAATTCTGTAAGGTTCTGTGTAATTTTGAATTGTGTTAGGTCAGTAGGTGGCCATAGATATGAGATGGCATTTGGATCCAACAAAAGGATCTAACTATCAGAAGATGTCTGTGCCACTGAAACTCATACAAATATAGATACTTATATCTTACAGATTTGAACGTATTTGTGCCATACCTCAGAGGAAGAACAATCTATCAGCCAAACATTTCATCCCAGCCAATAGAAATGTACCCCGCCCACCAAGATCTGTCAACCAGAAGTATCTACTGAGGTCTGTGGATTACCACAATCACCCAGAATACAGACCTACTACAGTACTGCATTAGGTTTTAGCCCAGAAATACTCTACTTATTTGCTAAAACAATCTAATGGAATATCGCACTCACGTTCACCTTGTTTATATACCATTTTGTTTTTGTTCCCCAAAAATGGTAAATTGAAATCCCACAATGGCAAACTGCTGCTTGGACATTCCTACCTAAACAGACACACAAGACTACTTCCACTGACACCATAGAATACTATTGTTTGAAGTCACTGAGCTTCCTGGCAGTTTCATGTAATACCGCCAGGTATTGACAGAGAAACAACCTGTTAAACCTCTATGAATAATTCTGTTAATATTGCACAGAGGGCCATTAGCCTTCACCTTGAAGGCTTGATATAAGTTTTTCATTTATATAGTAAATACTATATACGTTATAGGTCATGGAAGAAACCTTATATTATCCCTAGATATCCCAAGATGTTTCAGTACAGCTTTATAAATAAAGTACCTTTCTACAATCTCTCTCTATATTTTTCTTTTAAATATGGAATATTTACTCTTTATGCTTTAGCTGCTCTTGTACTTTTACATACCTATATATTACAGTTACATTATTATTGAATGTACTACATGACATATATATAGATAACTCTCTAGTGCAGAATGTTCTAAATATATATATATATAAAAAAACAAATAAAATAAAAACACACCTTCATACCAGTAATGTTGCCTATATATATATATATATATTGTTAAAAACCTAAGCAACCAAACCATATAATATAAATCTACATGGTTAAAGCATAAAAATGCAGAAATGTATGAACAAACCTATGCATCCATTTCAAAAACTGCCTTTTTGAAAAATTCACATATATAAAATATTCTTCTAAGAATATATCTTTAGGTTCTTTCTTCATAAATATATAAAAGTTCCTTCAGTAGCACTTCCTCCTCCTCTAGAGATGCAGTCTTAGTAAGTCTGGTAGATGTCATGCAATGGAACCTGGAAGGCTGCAGTAGGAAAGGCTTGAGGAATATAGCCAGCATATCCCCCATACATTGCTGCTGCAGCGGCTGCATTCTTTTGTAGTGTGGCTAATGTGGCTGTGGTAGGAGCAGCAATGGGCATGTAGCTTGCACCATAAATTCCGGCAGCAGAAATCCTTTGCACATTGGGAGCCATAGTATAGACTGGAGTTATTGGGCGGCCCTGAAAGATAGAAGGGATAATTGAGGAATAAAAAGGAACAGCTGAATTTATACTTTTCTTTTAGGAAAGAAAGAACAGAAACATAATATGATTAAATATGACCAAATTGCAACTATCAACAACTCCATTATTATTCTCTAGGTGGAAATTAAGCAAAATGCTGTACATCCTGGACATATATAATCAGTATGCCTTCCAGGATACACACAGGCAGAACATACACATTTTATGCAGGTAGTATGCCCAATGGGAAATTAGCCTGGAACCCCAGCTTTGCAAAGCAACATGGTAAATTCCAAAGACAACATCTGGGAAACTGACTACAGTAAACTCCCTCTTATGCCGGCATTCCACAGGGATTGGTAAATTCTGGATAAAGTTTGTTTCTGGTTGCTTGAGAGCTACTATTAAACATAGGTTTAACTAATGCTATACCCCATACTATACCATAACATAAACTCTGTATTTCACTTCATATTAATGTTGAAATAAAGTAATCAAAAGCAAATTAAGACAAACAGACACAGTTAGCATTAGTGCTGCAATACAGGCGCTCTAATACAGGTGCTCCAGTACAGGTGCTCCAATGCTGCGTGCACTGGGGCTACTGGACATTGGGACTGGAGATCTACAGTGCATTGTACTGTAACCAATTGGCAATACAGTACTGGGAGTGATCACTAGGTGGTGCTTGTTCATAGACGATCGTTCAGACACTCGTTCCCATGATAATACAGCACTTTTCAGCCATGATCCTCTACTCTCTCTACCTTCCCATGCTGCGGAGCCCGCTGTCCCTCTCCTACCAGGTTGCAGATCGGCAGAACAGTGAGTGCACAGAGGATTTTCTTTTGCCAGTTAGATGAGAATTCTGGTTAGTTGAATACCAGTTAACAGGGAGCTTACTGTAGAAATATTCATGATCTCTGCCATTGTTTTCTTAACTGGCAAGCACCATCAACACTACTCATAGTTATAAAATTAATTAATATGCCATGCACATAAAAGGATATTTTGTACTCAATGTCAAATCCCCTTCTCTGCATTCACTGGAGGACACAGCACCTGCCCCACTGGCTTGCTGCTGCATTTATGTGTAAAAACTTTGTGTTATTTGCACTGATGTGCCATGTAAGTGAGTAGTTCACAGCTGTACAGGGGGCTTTGGCCACCACCAGGAGCCACCCTTGGGCTGTCTTTTTTTTTTAGTACACCTAGTATCCGTTTCCTGCAGGTGGCAATATACCCAGTCTGTGATGATCTAAATCAGAACTGTGTCCTCCAATGGACGAAAGACAAAAATATATTGGATAGTTTCTAATTTTGGCGGACACACTCTAATTTAAAATCCATCTATTAAATGTGTTTGCATGCCCACATATTCACATTGCCTATTCCACTTTCCCAAACTGATAACATAAAAACAGGGGGATGCACCAACCTTGCACAATGTAATTAAAACCACTTTATTGTTACAATCAATAGTTGCACTCACATGGAGCTGAAGGGGCAATGGACATCAAAAAAGTTGCCTCACTTACCTGAAATGGTGGAGGTGTTGACACTGAAGGCATGACAGCTGCTCCAGTCACAGCGTTCACTTGATCGGCCTGTAAAGTGATGGGATTCATCATGTGTTCCATCCCGTGGATTTTCCCCTCTTCGATCAGCTTGGCAGCCGAGGCCTGAAACATGGAGTACGGAGAACTACCCATCGTGGGAATGGCAACTGAAATACATAAAAAATGGTCAACAACAGCAAGTCTTTAGCTTAAGCAAAATGTATGATTTCTTAACGGAGTAGAAAAAAAACTTCACTTTTACCTACACCCAGGAGAAGTTACGATTTTACCAACTAAGAGATCAGCCCACACAGTGACAGCCTTTACTGTGTATAGACCACCGTCACCATAAAATACTGTACATCTCATACTTCCCTATGCCGAGATAACTTATTGTAAAATTGTGTTAGTTACAGCAGATGGAAAGGCATGAACAAGTGATTTGGGAAGTTATAATCAAAATAAATAACACAGCATGATTGATGAATCTCGGTTACAAAGATGACTATATATACAGATTGTCAACAACACACACAATTTGGGCTGATTGAAGTAGCAGTATGGCTGTATATGTGTTGAAAGGTCAGGATTGTTGAGTGGCGTGTATGCCTTTTCACACAGCACTGTTCTACACTTTACATTTAGCTACAATAAAAATGGCCTTTTTTTCCTAGTGTGAAATACAATGGGACTCATATATAGAGTGTCTAAAATAAAAATGGTCTGTGATGCCCATTTTTATTGATCAGAGTCAAACATTCCGATGCTGTTAGCTGAAATCTAAAGTATTTGAATAAAAATGGTGGTTATGGGATAACACAGAGTTCTTATTTAAAATACTTTACATATTGAAACTTAATATGCTCACAGGTCATGCTTCAGCTATCAAGATTATCTGTGAAACATTGGTGGCTGCATACAACAGGGACTAGACATGATGAGCCCAATGTGTATATCTTCTCTAGGGTTTATTTATTATTTGTAGAGGGGGCACTTGCTGATCTATAAAACATCATCTAGGACAATTAATATAGTTTCTATTAAAGGTGCATCAAATTAAAATCTTTTCAAAAATGCACTGGAGGGTGATTTATTAACCTTGAGTAAGCATTATGAAGGAGTCATTACTCAGCTTTTATAAACCTCCCACCAGTATATTGCCTCTGATAGAATGTAGTCACCAGTTATGGTTGAGTTTAGAATTTCAGACTAACCTGTACCGGGCTTAAGAGCAACTGGATTGACCGATGGTAATTCCAGGTTGGGTACAAGTTCAAAGCCTTTTTCTTGCTGTTTACCCTTCCCTTCATGATATCTGCTATAAATGCCACGGCCGGCCGAATATCCCCCCAGGTAGGTGCCCCTGGGACCGGGGGCTCTGTTGCCAGCTGCGCCTCGCCCTCTGCCTCTTATGCTGCCTGCTTGTAATATCAACACAATACAATCAGAAATCACAGAAGATCACCACTAAAGCCTTTATTAAGTACATAGCGGGAAATGAAACTGAACTTCCATTTTGGAAAATGACATACCAATCAGGACTGAAATTCAAATACATCTATCTCCGACCTGAATTAGTCATAAGTAAAAAAACCTTCTCCTCCTTTTGTTCACTTTCAGACCAGTACATTTCTGGTCATATTTCTTAAAAATAAATTTGGTAAAAGAAATATTATAAGTCAATAGTAAAGCTTTATTGCATGTCATCTCCAAAATGTTAGCTCAAGATATGAGAAATTATGTTTCAGTGTAAGGTTTCAAGGGAAACTTAAAGCTAAAATACAAGTTATAGACTTTATCTGGAGACACACTTTAAGGGTAATTGAAATTGAATGGATAGGTCGAGTTATCACACTGATCAGAAGATACATTGTTAGTGAACCGTCCCTTCAAGCTTATTTATAAAAAACAAAAAAACTTTAATATCTTGTCAGAATGTAATGTTCAAATTCCATTTGGTTGGTTGAAAAACTTTGCTCCAAATATTATCATTATCCATGCAACCCATTTATCTAATGTATATTTTGATGGTATTCTTCCAATAATAAGACCCCCTGAAGGACCAAGTGCGGTTTGTTATTGATTGTGGGCTTGCTTGGACATGGCTGGAGTAAATCAAGGACAGTTCTTGAAGTAATTCTGTCAAAGATTTTGGCTCAAGATAAAAATGCATTAGCAGAGGTTATATTCAATAAAAAATGAATGTCAGCTAGCTGGAGTTATATTCAAATTTCGCCTTGTCCAAGTCTGCCTGCCCTGCTTAACCACACACCTTCTAAGTCTCCCCAGTGCACATTTAATAGGATAGGTGGCCTTACTGACAAAAAGGGGGAACCATAAGGTGGGAGGAGTTACAGTCAAGTGTGATGTTTTACAAAAAATTCAAGATTTGAACATAACTTTAATTGCCTACATCTGTGATCTACTGATAGCTTTGACACAGTGTTTTAACATAACCTCTATTTATTAATTTGTGTGATCGTGAGCTCCACTTGAATTGCTCAGGTGTGCAACAGGTTTATTTTAAAGCTGTCAGAATTTTAGATATTAAAATGGTGGCAGGTATGCCATCACTCCACTGACTTATAAAGATTTGATAGGCAGATAGGCAATATAATAAGCATTAGCTCAGCCCCAAAATTGGCTGTCTTGTACATTGTATGATTTTTAATAGAGTGCAAGGCATTTCTTTCCCACAGAAACTATAATTTCATATTTATTACATTCTGTCAAGAACAGGTCATAATTACACTTATATATATGCAGGTTACAATGTTCAATCAAGTTGAAGAAAATCTTGTATTTTAGCGACTGTGATTTATGACTGATACAGAAGCGTGATGTAAAGGTACATGCTATGTACAACAAATCAGGGCATTTCCACTGATATGTTAACAGCAATGCTGCCAGGTAGTCAGGTGACAAACATATGCTGATAAGATATAAACGAAGTGCACTGTGACCAATAGCAGAATGGAATAACACATTCGTGTGACCTTGGGTTGAGTTTTCTTATCTTTTGTCGTCATGCATGACGAGGAGCCCATGACATGTTGTACTATACTCTAAATACACTGTTCTTTAGCCACCTTAAGAGCAAAGAAAAATGTAAAATGCCCTCCTTAGACACAAACTTAATGGTAATAGAAGGAGGATCAGTCCTAATTTCCAGATATTAATACGTACTTAGCCTGCCTTGGTAGATTTTTGAGCACCGGTAGGGGTTATTAAAGTAGGAAGGCAAAGCCTTACACAGCAAACTATAAACAAGCTGGATATATGGTCATATATGATTCGTTTATCAAAGTGCCCAAAAGAGAACCAATCAGATAATTAATTATTTCTTTAACTTGTAAATGAGAAACAAAATGGCTAACACTTGACAACAATGATAATTCCTTTGGACACCTTGCTAAAATAAGTTTATTATCTAATAAAAGCGAGTTTCTAGAAAGGTGTGTTTTGATGTGTATTCTTTATTGCGTGTTGGCATGAGTTTTGGATGCACTGTGAACTCCACTTGAGTTGACCTTCTCCCATAACACCATCACACTACTAAAGTTGTTGGTATAAAACACTGCAAAATGCAATGTGTTTAGTGTTAGAAAGCTATTAGCCAAGCCACACACTGCTCAATATTTTCACGTTATGTGGTTGTTTCCAGCATAACCTGTGACCATTAATCAGTATGGGGTTTACCCTCCAAGCAATGATTATATCCTTCTCTCTACAGTACAACCATTTCACTGAGCATGTTTCACCCCATATATGTATGACATCAAGTTCTGGTGGCTCTCAGGATCACAAAAGCTTAGTCAGACCTCTCAGGGACCATTGAGTGACAAATCTGTCTCTACTGATGACCATTAATCTCTTGTTTATTCAGCTAATGTAAAATTTTTGATTCTACAATATGGCTAAAAGTTGGCCTTTCCACATAACTGTGTAATGTTTTAGCTGCTGTTTTTTTTTTTTATGGCGGCAGACAACTTAATGCATGAAATGGGGCTTAACCTACAAGGGGTGTTCAACAAAAACAAATAGATTGCTCTTGTAACTGTGGGTGTAAGCAACTGTTAACATGCATCCTTATGTGACTGTAAACCATATAAAATAATGTATATGGGACTACAAGTGTAAAGAGGTCAAAGTTATCATCTAAATGGAAATGTAAACATTAAAACAGTAACCACCACAACAATTGGTATTGCTCAATTGATAGATTAATGTATAGATAATAATAATAATAATTATAAAAAGATTACTTGTACCATGTGGTTCCAGTAAGTACCTAGAATAATCTTCAAATAGATCCCCTTTTTTATGTGCAGGCCCCCCTTGGATCCTAGACCCTAACTTTACATGGGGATTGTATGGTAGTACGGCTTTGCACTGAAAGTTTGATCATTGATCACCTGGATGTCTGGAGTGAAACTCTGTGACACACCTATGATAATTGGATCGCTTCACAGGGTTATTATATATTTCTGCATGGGACTCTTAATATAATATCTTGTTGATGGACAGATTTACATAAGGGCTTCTTCTATGAAAATTAAGAATAAGAAAACAACAAGCAAATTATGTAGTCTTTGATTTTTGTCTACTCTCTTTTATGCCTCACTATAAGTCCATCACTATGATGGAAGGCCTCACTAACAAAAGTGAGGTTAGGTAGACGTAAAGCTAGGAGTAGCTCTTGCATTTCACCAGGGAATCTGAGTGTATAGTTGTGCTCGATTGTGGATTTGGCACTATAAGCCTGATGTTTAGTGAGGAAGAACCAGTGGTGGTTAAAGTGTATGCAGAGTAGAGAAGGATTACAATCTATTCATTTTTTTTTATCGCTGCATATGTCCCCTCTAGGTAGATTGACCATTGCCAATAAGAAAGTGATAGAAATCTCAAACTTTAGAACAGAACAAGAGGTGAGGGTAAATCTTCCAGTGGGATCATGTATTGTATAGTGACAACTGTCTAACAAGAGACATTCCCTCCCTCTACAATTTGTAGAGATTTCCTTTCTCTTCCTGTTGCATCTCCAAGACAGAAAGAAAAGAGAATGCTCCCCAATGGGACACAGTGAAAAATAAACTGACATGGGTTTTAGCCCCTTCCTACTCTATCCAAAACTAACAAAAAACGTTTTGGCTATACATTCAAATTTGAAGTGATTCAGTGGGATTGATTTACTAAAGGCTAATAGGCTGTTCACTTTGCAAGGAAATTTGCACTTTGCAGGGGAAGTTTCCCCTTAGTTTAGTGAATGAGGTAAAGCTCTGCTGACTTTCATCACCCAATCATGTGCAAGCAAAAACACTGCTTTTTATTTTCGCACATGATTGGGTATTTTTAGCAAAGTGAAATCTCCCTACATCCATCAAGCAAAGGGAAGCTTCCCCTACAAAGTGCAAATTCCCTTCTAAAGTGAACAGCCTATTTACCTTAAGAAAATCAACCCCAATATCTGAAGCTCTATACTCACCTATCTCCCCAAATCAATAGAGCAACTGCAGTTCATAAAGCCCATTAAGCAACTCTATATAAACTATTCCTATATAAAAATCTGGAGCGCTAAAAAAAATACACACAATACTAACCCTATATACAGTAGGTGTTAATAGGGTAAACCTACAATTATTAAAATATGTAACACCACCATAAATGTGAAAGACAAATCAAAATTAAGTTTAAAGAAGAACTGACGCCAAACCTTTTGGATAGAAAAAGAAAGGTTTATAACCCGTCAGCTTTTTTTTACCATTGGTGTCCTTTGGGTGAGTATTCCCTTTACTTCCCGTCTGATGGCCACAACAGAAAGTGAGAGGAAATCCCTCCAAAGTGAGGGTCATCCCTGGTGGTCAGCAGGGACACCCATATTAGAAAAGTTCCCATTTATTCCTACTCTGGTGACAACCCAAAATTTGGGATTATCTTTTACTTTTACCGATATCTGTCCCTCGGACAAATAGAGGGGGTGACCTGACAGGGGTTCTTATCCCTCTACACTCTATCCAAAACTAAACGTTTTGGCTTCAGTTGCACTTCAAGCAAACGCTTCAATGATAACTCAAAACCTGTATTCATTTAAAACACACTATAGTTTCTCTTTAAAATGTATCCTTCCTTTATCTCCTCTGCTACTATGTACGACTGACAGAAGCAAAAAAAATTAAAATTCTGTTAGTTCCAGGTATATAAGACAATGCTTGTGGTTGGCAATTGGCTGCTTAGGCACCCAATGCTGTTGCATGACTGTAGGGAAATTACGTGGCTCGGTTATGTACATCTGCAGGACCTGATATTATAGTGAACTTGTTTCTTTGCTCTGCATAATCATAGTACAGGTTTACTTTGAAGTGCAAACACACATACTTTACATTACAAGATTTGGTCAACTAACATGATTAGGTCCATGCTGCCCACAATTAATAGATTTGGTTGTGCATAGGTATGTTAACTGGGTAGATCTGCTTTGCCCTAATAACGTAGGTAATTTGTAAGCAGATGAGGTCACATGGTTTAGTACAAATGAGAACAGTCTCATATATGAGGAATGTTAGACAACAGAATGTGCAGGTTCTCTAAACACTACATTTGTTTTACTCATTTACATTATATATATCCAGCTCGTTTACCAAGGCGTATAGGTTGCACCTAACTATGTCTACACAGAGTACTTCATTAATAATTTAAGCTCCTGCTTTAAACTACCATGGTGATAACATGACTTCTGACAATTAAATGAGAGTATAATGTGGTAAATCAATGTGATTGCTAAAATTATTGAAGGGTGTACACACATTCTGGAGATTTATGTTCTTCACTTAGATTTGAGATGATCCTTACAAATTTGCAGAATGAAAGAGGGAAAGAATAGTTAAAGGGTAACATCAACATCCAGCACAGAGATACAATAGTAGTATATTGAACATGCACAAGTAGTATATTACCCATGATGCTTAGCCATGTTCTGGAAAAGCATCCAGTGCATGGCCCAAGCTGTACAAAGCAGAGGTGTGGAACATTTTTTAAATTCTTGCTCGCCATTACAAATGATGAGCAATGGAAGTTAGAAATCAAACTCAGCTTATAGGTCTAGTTGAAAGGCACGTGTGGTCTGGAAGGTTCTTGTTTTTTAAAGCAAATTAATAAAGGAAATCTTTACTTTGAGGAAAATGATATCTGCCATTGTTGACCTCTTCTTCCAAAAATCCAAATCTCCTGGCTTCCATGCTGATCCAATGCATTTGATTATCTTGAGCAACTGAATTGAAACAAATATGGAGATTGGGAGGTCAGTGATTTAGAAAGGTGGAAGACAGCCAAGCAAGTAGCATTTTTTAAAAGTCTCCCATTTTCTCAATACATGTTTCCCTAATTTTGGGTATGCATAGCCTTCAGATCAGGAGTTTAAATAAAAATATAAAAAAAAGGAAAATGACCTACTTTCTCAAAGAATAACTTAAAAGACAGATAAAAACAAAACATTTCTGTTACAGTTACCAACCTTTCACAAAGTAATCTCTGTTTGGACCAATCAAAGCATTATATGGGTATCCATAATAGGCTAACGTGTAGGGATCACAGGTGTAAACATAATTAGGCTGGGTGACTTCAGTGGCAGTAGCCGGTGTAGTTGCTCCTTTAGCAGCTTTCTGGTATCGTGTGTACTGTTCCTTATCTACGGGTTTAGCCAATGTGACTTCTATGCAAGAGCCTTCCAGTTCAGTCCCATTGAGGTTCCTCATGGCCAGCACCGCATCATCTCGGCTGGTAAAATGCACAAAGGCATAATCCCGTATTTTCTTTACCCGTTCCACACATCCAGGATTATACTGGCCAAACACCTTTTTAATTATATCCTCTGATGTTTCAATCATAAGGTTCCGCACATAAAGGATTTTGACAGTCTCCATCACATCTTCATCAACATCAATTTCTGGTTCTGCCCAGTCAACAGCAATCTGGTGACCCCACAGCTGAATTCTTCCAGGCATCAATTTCCTTCTGGCCATGGCAGCCGCTCGGTGGCTGTCATATTCTACAAAGGCAAAGCCTCTATTTTTCATCTTATCAGCAGCACTAGCATAGACAATAACATCTAAAACTCCTTCAGTTACTTTAGAGATTTCTTCTAGAATCTCCTCTCTTTTCTTCATCTTTGGAATCCCCCCAATGAAAAGTCGACAGTTATCTACACTGCAACAAACACCTAAGAGCCTTCCAGGCCTGATTTCATAATTATTAAGATCTCGGACTGCCCTCTTGGCTTCATGTTTCAGTGTGTACATGACAAAAGCATATCCCCGATTCTTTCCATCAAAGTCCATCATCAGGCGCATTTCATAGATACGACCTACGCTTTCAAAGACTGGAACTAGCTCGTCCTCATAGACATCACGGGGTATTTTGCCAACAAATACTTCACAGCCACGAGGGGGGTGAAGCCCTTCCCATCCTGGTGGTGGACCTCCATATTTTCTTTGCCCATTTTCCTGGACCATTGAATAACCTGTACGTTCCATAAGTCCAATGAGAGCAGCCTCATTTGGTGCGCCGGCAACTCCCTCTGTGATCTTTGAGTCTGACATGTTAGAAGAATCGTTACTCATCATAGCAATAGAATCCTCTGCTGTCATTGTGCCAAAGTCATGCAATACTTGCTGAAACCTATTTAAAATAAAAACACAGCATTAATAAGATATTCAGGAGCACTGCCACAAAATAAAAAAATAGATTTCGGTATAAATCATTTCTTTCTGCTTAAACAGATTTCTGGAGCAAATTAGTCATGTAAAACTTGGCAAAAACTGAACTACAACACAAATTTATATGAATAAAGAGCAATACATGACAGAAACCAAGAGACACTCCTTATCATGTAGCAGCTTGCACAAGAAAACTTTTACCCAATAGATGTCAACTGAAATCTGAAAACTAATTCATTAAATTGTAAGAGTCTGTAAAGTTAAAAGATGTAGTACACACAATACTAATGATATTATTTTATGCACAAGGACCCGTACTTTAAAATATGTTGAAGTGTTTGACCTTTTAGGTATTATTCACAGTGTGTGCCTGCAACTGTTTCACATTATTAGCCATTACAGCCTGTGCAAAAGCAAAGGACATACTTTTGTGTTATACTTTTCTTGGATAACCATACAGAAATAATGGATTATATGGATAGGTAGAACATACTGCACAGGTATACATATTTAACAAACAGGTCTCTCGTTGTTTAGAAACTTGTTTCTTCATATACATTTAATAATGTATATGATGGGTGCGCCTTGATAGGTAGGCATTCTAAAAAAGGATTACTGATGCATTTAATTTACCCTAAATATGTCACAGCTTTAATATCCCGTCTATAGTGATTACCATATGCATTGAAATGTAAACAGTCCACATGTAAAAACTGGCATTTTATTTTAAACGGCAAGTTCAACTTCTACTAAACCAGATGCTGCATATTACAATCATCATGCAGCACTTGTAATAATAGTTCACAGTTTTGTGTCCCTGATAAAAGATATCCAACAGGAGGACATCCAAGGGGATCTATTTCTTGTTACAGGCAGTCCTTGTTTTCAAGGAGAATTGCCAAATAATAAGATCCATTAAAAGTGTACGTAAAGCCAATCCTTTCTTACATTTCTTTTTTTATAAAGTTGTGAAGTGATAGAGCCACTGTCAAGTTTTTTTTTGTCTGCTGTCAGTGTCCTTGCTGCTGGGAATACACCCTTTCTATGTGTCCTGGTGACCATTGTCACTTGGACAGAAGGTGAGAGAGTTGGCACCAGAACAGGAACATACGGAGAATCTTCCAATGGGGACACATGCTCTGGCGTCAGCTGTCTAAGGCAGGACCTTCCTTCTTTTGGAGAGATTTAGGCTGGCCATAGACAGCTTGAATTTTAGATGACACCTGATGAATGTACCTCCAGGCCCCCCCTTCCAAGCTTGCTGGACAAGACTATTCAACAATTAAGTGAGCCGGGTGGAATATTACTTGCTGCGAATGCAATGCATGAATACAATAGCTGGATTTGCATCTAATTTTGGCATTACACCGAAGGCTTGTATCTATCTCCCACCTCTCTCACTGCAGGTACACTAACAATACAATTATAAATGAATCCTACTAATCTAATATGGAAACAATCCAGGGCATTTAGCTATGTTAATATGTAGCGAAAGTCTGTTCACTATTTGACTACACAATCAGATCTGAATGAGCATTGCTTTTCTGGTGATTTTGCTTCATAGGACTCATTCACACATTTCCTCTGCGGCTTTCATAATCAGTGTGTGTAAACCACATCTGAAATGCAACCACTAGTGTTCAATGTAATATTTCTGATCTCTGCACTGAAAAATCTCAACACAATTCTTTCATAGATGCTAATGTGGAGTTAAAAATGTAAACTGCACTGCAGGTGGGCAACAATTACATGTTGGAATTCAAGTGGTTATAAAGGCACAAATATTTAAATATCAACATATGATGTTTTATGTGTCCTTTGTTAACAAAAGGAAGGAATAATTTGGAAACACTGCATGGTACATATGTGTCAGTGCTCTGCAATGTAAAGCAGATGATTTTCGTTTTGGCAGGGTTTGCAGAAACAAAACCTTGCATTAATATGGGGGCATGTGCACTGTATGTGCATATTGCCAAGTCTACTGTATATTTATTGTATTTGTGTTGCATTTACAGCATGCTACATATACTAGTTTCTTAAATCTGTGCAATATTCAAGGCTGAAGGTAGTTTGCAGTACAACTGTGTGTACCTTAGAGAGCATATCCAAGTTATCCCCTAAACATTCACATAAACACAATACAAATAGTTCAAAGTGATGGAAACTGACCCTAATGGAAAACTCAATGCAAACCCCTTGCAATCAAAACCCCCCTCTGCTCATGATAGTAACTCAGGCAAGGTGAGTAACCTAACAGCCCTGATCACTTGATTTCTGGGGAGATTGCACTATGTAGAAGGTTTCCTAAGAAGCGGAGAAACCACTAGACACTTTTGGACAGTAATAAAATGCATGGGACATGCTATGCTTCCTTCCTCCTGGCACATAGAGTAGTGTAACTTTCTCCCTACCTGGAACTGTTTTTGGGTGTTTCAGTGTCAGTCATCAACTGTATCTATACTGTTTTCATAAGTCATAACCAAAATTTACCTGCATCACATGATCACGCAGCACTAATATGTCAGAACACATAAGTTTGGTTGTGGGCTCATTTTTTACAGCCAGTCAGAAATTCCTGTCCTGAATTCTGTTTTTTGTTTTACCATAAAACTGGAGTACAATTAGAAAAATGTGGCATGCACATTAATGGGCATCTTAACATAAAGCATGCCACACATGATCAGAGTGCATACCTTAAGGCATGTGAACTGGCCCCAAGTTGAGAATTGTAATGCTGAAAATAACAGCACATAAAAGTTCATGTGCAGAGATGTGAATAGGCAGTAAGGTTGCCTGTACACTCTTGTACTGTATCTTACATGCCTTTTTAAAGTCCTAATATAATTTATGCCATAGTTAACAATACAACTAACAATATAAAACCTAATGTGTTCTAAGTTGGATGACTTGTTTATTAGTTATGCAACTTTCAAGTGGTTGGTTTCTTGGTGCAGTGGCAGATAATCCTATCATGAAGTGCTCTAAAGATTACTGAATTCCATTACAATGTCTTTTTATACAAGAATGCATACTTTACTACATACTAAAGGCTAGATCTGATCTTGTGAATTGCATGGTTCAGAAGTCATCACTGATAAGGTGAAGGACGTTACCATATTCCACTGCGATAATGTGTTGCTGTAGCGCACACATTATCAAGATAAAGGTTGCCATCAAAAAGACAGGTTTGCTCAAGATTATCCCACAAGTTCCCCCACACCCCATATGTTCCCGCCCACAATTCCTAATACTGATGATTTTTTTCATACCTCCAGTTATAAATATATGAAATCGGGGAGCCTCATAAATAGGGTTATTTCACTGTTTTGGGTAACACTGTTCATGTATTCTGACAGGGGCACAGCTGCTCTGAGAACACTGCTTAGTGTGGAAAGGGGATCCAAGCGTTTTTTTCTCATTCAGCCCATGGGCTGAAGAAGAAGAAAAAAAATTATAAGTGCATGGCCAGCTTTAATCTTAAAGAGACTCCATCAAGGAAAAAATCCACAAGAAAATACTGCAAGCATAAAGCATCTGGAGTCTGGCATTTAGTTATGATGGGAGGGTTTTGGAAGCTGTTGCAGGTATGCGCAGACCTTTGCTTGTACTTTATACCCAAGTGTCCCCCCCCCCCCATAATTTGGGGTTTATTTTTCCCATCACAGAAAATGTAAGAGTGGGGATAAAGGCTTATAGACACAAGATAACAGCCACGCCGACCTGGCAATTTGCAGTCAGCATGGGTAACAATCTCATGTATATGAAGTTAGATGCCCACCAGCCATCCACTCGCAGAGGGATCATCAATTAGAGGCTCTAAACAGGTTTTGAACCTCTATAAGATTAGTGGCACCGTTAACAACTGTTTATTCCCACCTCTCCCCTACACTGACACACATAGACATATTGCCGGAACTATTCAAAAATAGGTACAGAAACCTGTAAAAAAGGGCAGCCGGATAGAGCCTGGACATTAATTTAACCTCTCTGGAGTATAGGAGTTGGGTGATGGCACCCTGGCATAAATGAATGATCAATGAAAACTGCTAAGTCACAACAAATCAATTCATTGCATTTTATGGAGTAATTTAGCTGGTTATTTAGGATAATTCTGGCTGTAAACAAATATTTAGCAGTAAACATATTCCTTGCTTTTTTGAGTCTTGGTATCTAATTTGATAGCAACATCTTATTAATTTCTATTCCTCCATTGTTATAGAATTTGTAGCTCTATGTTCTAGGGCTGCTTTTCTTTTACCTGCACTATATTCTTCTTATTTATCATATGTACTGTTTAAGTGAGACTCCACAATCTCCTTTATCTTGATTACTTTACAAATAAATGCAGCAGGTCTGCATCAAAAGTAGACTGTTGACAGACAGGTTCTACAAGCTTGAGGGCACAATTTGGTTATTTGAAGAATGTTATAATGGTGAGTGCCACATCACCCAAGTGCCAGCTCAAAAGATGAAGTTCCAAAGCTTGCAAAACATAATTGCAGCTCTATGCTTAAGCAGGAATAGACAATGTGTTAAAAGTTTCCACGAATCTAGAATTCTGTCATGACATGAATAAGAACAGTGAACTGCAGGGGCAAGGAAGGCTTTTTGACTCTAAGTCCTATTTTGATCTCTTCTCTTTCATTACTGAAGATCTGCAGTATATCCTTGCACACTGACTTGTAATAAAAAGGAATATAAAATGCTGATGCACATGTGAGATGGAACCTTCTCCTGTAAGCTATGGCACGTGCTCCTATACAGAAACTTGCAATCTATAAACTCTGCAATGTGCATGGCTACCAGCTGCCAACTTCACTGGCCCCTTTTCACATCAGGCAAACCTTAAAGGAGAAATATGGGGTTAGGGCTTTTCCCCATAGTTCTCCTTAGGGTAACGGGAGGACACAAACTAGCGTCCTCCCGTCACCCTAAGCTCAGTATACATGATCTTAGGGTGAC